TCATAAAGCAGGGTTCTTTACACCCTTAATGTTTATAATTTTACAAATGCACCAAGTTAGAATTAGTTTCTACTATTTGCGGAATTAGTTCCTTTAAGAATGTCTTCTATATCAAAATAAATGTTACTGGATGATATCCTTATCTAATTTAAAAGTCAATCAAATTGAATCATGAATTGAATCAGGCCCTTGTAAATCGAATCGAATTGATTTGGGAAATCTGAATCGATACCCAGCCCTACTGAAGACCTAAGAAAAAGAAACTGAGAAGGTGCGTCCAAATTTGTGACTGGTAGTTGTCATTTGTACATAGACAAATGTTCCTTCTCTACAGTCATATCATGCACAATGACAAAATGTCTTATTAACACATTCATCAACATAAATTTGAATTACCTTACTTCTCCATGGCCAGTTTGAGTCACCATAATTATAGGTGACCTCCTCTCCCGGATTTATATCACAAATTGCAAACAAACACAAATGGGGCTTCCCTTGCAGTGTTAGATACTTCATCTTTGCATTTGGGTTTATATGGTCATCGTTTACAAGTCTTCCAAGTGACCCATCTTCTTTTGCTCCATCAACACTATAAATACAGAGTCCCAAAAATTAGGCAGAGTCTGTCGCCAGCATTATGAATCACCTTATTGTTAAGAACCTTCTATTAGTCGTTTTTGGCACAATGATAGTACATTGTTTTTTGTTTTTAAGTCTAAATATAATTAGATATAAACATACGTACCACCAGAGTTTTCCATTAAAGTAGAATTCGAACAAGAACACTTTAAGTCTGTTGTGGTAAACCCTTTGTCTCCTCTCACATTCATCCTTACTGATCAGTTCACCTCTATACTCCAACAGAAAGTCTCCTTTTACAAAGGATCTATTGGCAAAGATTCCACGACCTAGTAACAAAAACAAATAATTGATCAGAAACCCATACTATAATTTGTGATTTAACCACTATAAAGTTCTACATACCTTTAAATGCATTGATGTACTTAATGTCAAGGCCATCTTTGTCCTTTCTTTTATCGATATAATATTTTGC